CAATAACAATTGGCTTAGACCTAAAACATCATAATATTACTATTACAATGCGGTCAAATGACTTTTATTTTCCCCCATACAAAATCGACCCAGCCTAATACGCAGCTACGTACAACAAATATATTGTCGCCAACACATGGCTAGTATACACCACAGGAAGCACGCAAACAAGCATTCACACGCACCAACTACAGATCATTTGCCACAACTCAACACTCAACAACCGTTGGGTACTTACCAGACATCTGCAGCGGGTGCATGATTTTCGTGTATACTCGATCATCTAACAAAACCCGTTTTGCATCGTTCTCTGTATACGAGCAGAAGTATTGTTCGTTATCGACTGAGCTCAAGACGAACATGTTGGCCACAACACCCGATTGCTTTTCATACATACTTGATTGGGTTCGGGTGCTTTGCAGCTCAATATACCCGGGTGTTCGAGTTTCAACCCGAGTATGCACAAAATTTTCTTGATTGGCTTATGACGTTTTTGTTTCTACAAAAAATGTTGCCTTCTCATCGCGGTGTTCTTAGTTTTTGTGCGTAGAGGGTAAAGAGAAGGTTGAATTTTTTTTGGTAGTTTGTTTAAGTGTACATTTAACCATTTCTTATATTTTTGCTCATACAAAATGCGGCATCACGACGCCTACATCCATTTAGGTATAAATGTGTGTAGATCGGCAATGCCCAAGCCCTATACACTCGGTGCACATTTATTTTTTGTAAAAGTACTTATGTACCTACATAGTTTTAGGCTGTGTTCTAATATATACACACACAGCTTTCCACGCGAAACTATACGAAATAGATGCAAAAACATTTTTGTCTACTTCGCTTCTAATTTTTTCATTGCGTATGCACAAGCACAAAGCAACAACATTTTCGTATGCTTTGTGGGAACATATTGGCGCCAGTTACCTTCAGCGTAAATTTCTTTGTTGTCCTGCATTTTATCGCAATGTTCGGGTGTCCGTTTCATTGTTACACAAATTTTCGGGTTAGCTGCGGGTGTCCGAGTGTGGTGTTCGCTTGTGCTCAATTTATAGCGAGGGTGATCGAACAGACTCGTTCGTAACCAAAGCAGTTGTCGGGTATGCATCTCGATCGAACACATAGTAGCCGAGTGTGGCGT